GGCATTGCCGTGCTCCACGGCACTGCGTAGTCATCAAATATAAATAAGATTTCTTCGCCTGCCTACTGCCTATTTTTATCATCAGATGTTCATAGATGCAGTGTGCTACCTTTCTCTAAAACCGTGTTGTGTTCGCAAGAAGACTGGGATGGCTTACGGCTTTGCCGTGCTCCACGGCACAGGGTACCCACAGCCATAAAGGTGATTTCTTCATCTGCTTATTGATTATTATTATCATCAGATGGTCATAGATGCAGTGTGCTTCCTTTCTCTAAAACAGTGTGGTGTTGGTAAAAAAGGCTGGGATGGCTTACGGCTTTGCCGTGCTCCACGGCACTGCGTAGTCATCAAACATAAATATGATTTCTTCATCTGCCTATTGCCTATTTTTATCATCAGATGGTAATTGATGCGGTGTACTCCCTTTCTCTATGGCAGTGTGGTGTTGGCAAGAAGACTGGGATGGCTTACGGCTTTGCCGTGCTCCACGGCATAGGGTACTCACAGCCATAAGGGTGATTTCGTCATCTGCGGTTTGCCTATTTTTATTATCAGATGGTCATAGATGCAGTGTGCTTCCTTTGTCTAAAACAGTGTGGTGTTGGTAAAAAAGGCTGGGATGGCTTACGGCTTTGCCGTGCTCCACGGCACTGCGCAGTCATCAAACATAAATATAATTTCTTTATCTGCCTATTGCCTGTTTTTATCATCAGATTTTCATAGATGCAGTGTGCTTCCTTTCTCTAAAAGTGTGGTGTTGGCAAGAAGACTGGGATGGCTTACGGCTTTGCCGTGCTCCACGGCATAGGGTACCCACAGCCATAAAGGTGATTTCTTCATCTCCCTATTGCCTATTTTTGTCACCAGATGGTCATAGATGCAGTGTGCTTCCTTTCTCTAAAACAGTATGGTGTTGGCACGAAGACTGGGATGGCTTACGGCATTGCCGTGCTCCACGGCATAGGGTACTCACAGCCATAAGGGTGATTTCGTCATCTGCGGTTTGCCTATTTTTATTATCAGATGGTCATAGATGCAGTGTGCTACCTTTCTCTAAAACCGCGCTGTGTTGGCAAGAACACTGGGATGGCTTACGGCACTGCCGTGCTCCACGGCTCAGCGTCGTCATCTAACATAATATGATTTCTTCGCCTGCCTATTGCCTATTTTTATCATCAGATGGTCATAGATGCAGTGTTCTGCCTTTCTTTAAAACCGTCTTCTGTTGGCAAGAAAACTGGATGGTTCACGGCATTGCCGTGCTCCACTGCACAGCGTAGCCATCAGTTATAAAGATGGAATCTTCATCTTCGTATATTCTATTTTTGTCATGAAATGGTAACAGAAGGGGTGTGCTTCATTTCTCTAACACCGTGAGGTCCCGTCAGAAAACTGCTATGGCTAACGACATAGCCGTGCTCCACTGCACAGCGTATTCATCAGTTATAGTGATGAAATCTTCACCTTCGTTTAATCTATTTTTGTCGTAAAACGGTAACAGAAGGTGTGTGCTGCATTTCTCTAACACCGTGAGGTCCAGTCAGAAAACTGCTATGGCTAACGACATTGCCGTGCTCCACTGCGCAGCGTGGCCATCAGTTACAAAGATGAAATCTTCATCTTCGTATATACTATTGTTGTCATGAGATAGTAAGAGAATGTGTGTGCTGCATTTTTCTAAAACCCTGAGGTCCCGTCAAAAGGACTGGTATGGCTAACGACAATGCCGTACTCAACTGCCCAGCGTAGCCATCAGTTATAAAGATGAAATCTTCATTTACGTATATTCTATTTTTGTCATGAGATGGTAGTAGAAGATGTGTGCTGCATTTCTCCAACACCGTGAGTTCTCATCAGAAAGACTGTGAAGGCTAACGGCATTGCCGTGCTCCACTGCTCAGCGTAGTCATCAGTTATAAAGATGAAATCTTCATCTGCGTATATTCTATTTTTGTCGTGAGATGGTAAGAGAAGGTGCGTGATGCATTTCTCTAAAACCCTGAGGTCCCGTCAAAAGGACTGGTATGGCTAACGACATTGCCGTTCTCCACTGCACAGCGTAGACATAAGTAATAAAGATGAATTCCTCATCTGCGTATATTCTATTTTTGTCGCGAGAAGGTAAGAGAAGGTGTGTGCTGCATATCCCTAAAACCGTGAGAACCCGTCTAAAAGACTGGTATGGCTAACGACATTGCCGTACTCCACTGCTCAGCGTAGTCATCAGTGATAGAGATGAATTCTTCATCTGCGTATATTCTATTTTTGTCATGAGATAGTTGTAGAAGTAGTGTGCTGCATTTCTCTAAAACCCTGAGATCCCGTCAAAAGGACTGGTATGGCTAACGACATTGCCGTTCTCCACTGCACAGCGTAGACATAAGTAATAAAGATGAATTCTTCATCTGCGTATATTCTATTTTTGTCGTGAGATGGTAAGAGAAGGTGCGTGATGCATTTCTCTAAAACCCTGAGGTCCCGTCAAAAGGACTGGTATGGCTAACGACATTGCCGTACTCCACTGCTCAGCATAGTCATCAGTTATAAAGATTAAATCTTCATCTGCGTATATTCTATTTTTGTCATGAGATAGTTGTAGAAGTAGTGTGATGATTTTCTCCAAACCCTGAGGTCCCGTCAAAAAGACTGGTATGGCTAACGACAATGCCGTACTGAACTGCCCAGCGTAGTCATCAGTGATAAAGATAAAATCTTCATCTTCGTATGTACTTTTTTGACCTGAGATGGTAGTAGAAGAAGTGTGCTCCATTTCTCTAAAACCCTGAGATCCCGTCAAAAGGACTGGTATGCCTAAAGACATTGCCGTTCTCCACTGCACAGCGTAGACATAAGTAATAAAGATGAATTCTTCATCTGCGTATATTCTATTTTTGTCGTGAGATGGTAAGAGAAGGTGCGTGATGCATTTCTCTAAAACCCTGAGGTCCCGTCAAAAGGACTGGTATGGCTAACGAAATTGCCGTACTGCACTGGTCAGCGTAGTCATCAGTTATAGAGATGATTTCTTCATCTGCGTATATTCCATTTTTGTCATGAGACGGTAGTAGAAGTAGTGTGCCGATTTTCTCCAAACCCTGAGGTCCCGTCAAAAAGACTGGTATGCCTAACGACAATGCCGTACTCAACTGCCCAGCGTAGTCATCAGTGATAAAGATGAAATCTTCATCTTCGTATGTACTTTTTTGACCTGAGTTGGTAGTAGAAGAAGTGTGCTGCATCTCTCTGAAACCCTGAGGACCCGTCAAAAAGACTGGTATGGCAAACGACATTGCCGTACTGCACTGGTCAGCGTAGTCATCAGTTATAAAGATGAAATCTTCATCTTCGTATGTACTTTTTTGACCTGAGATGGTAGTAGAAGTAGTGTGCCGATTTTCTCTAAAACCGCGTGGTGCCGTCAAAAAGACTGGTATGGCTAACGACATTGCCGTACTGCACTGCTCAGCATAGTCATCAGTTATAAAGATGAATTCTTCATCTGCGTATATTCTATGTTTGTCGTGAGATGGTAAGAGAAGGTGTGTGCTGCATATCCCTAAAACCGTGAGGTCCCGTCAAAAGGACTGGTATGGCTAACGACATTGTCCTGCTCCACTGCACAGCGTAGTCATCAGTTATAGAGACGAATTCTTCATCTGCGTATATTCTATTTTTGTCGTGAGATGGTAAGAGAAGTTGTGTGCTGCATATCCCTAAAACCGCGTGGTGCCGTCAAAAAGACTGGCATGGCTAACGACAATGCCGTACTCCACTGCTCAGCGTAGTCATCAGTTATAGAGATGAATTCTTCATCTGCGTATATTCTATTTTTGTCGTGAGATAGAAAGAGAATGTGTGAGCTGCATATCCCTAAAACCGTGAGGACCCGTCAAAAAGGCTGGTATGGCTAACGACAATGCCGTACTCCACTGCTCAGCGTAGTCATCAGTTATAGAGATGAATTCTTCATCTGCGTATATTCTATTTTTGTCGTGAGATGGTAAGAGAAGTTGTGTGCTGCATATCCCTAAAACCGCGTGGTGCCGTCAAAAAGACTGGCATGGCTAACGACAATGCCGTACTCCACTGCTCAGCGTAGTCATCAGTTATAGAGATGAATTCTTCATCTGCGTATATTCTATTTTTGTCGTGAGATGGTAAGAGAAGTTGTGTGCTGCATATCCCTAAAACCGCGTGGTGCCGTCAAAAAGACTGGCATGGCTAACGACAATGCCGTACTCCACTGGTTAGCGTAGTCATCAGTTATAAAGATGAAATCTTCATCTTCGTATATACTATTGTTGTCATGAGATAGTAAGAGAATGTGTGAGCTGCATATCCCTAAAACCGTGAGGACCCGTCAAAAAGACTGTGATGGCTAACGACATTGTCCTGCTCCACTGCACAGCGTAGTCATCAGTTATAGAGATGAATTCTTCATCTGCGTATATTCTATTTTTATCATGAGATAGTAAGAGAATGTGTGAGCTGCATATCCCTAAAACCGTGAGAACCCGTCAAAAAGACTGTGATGACTAACGACATTGCCGTACTCCACTGCTCAGCGTAGACATAAGTAATAAAGATGAATTCTTCATCTCCGTATATTCTATTTTTGTTATGAGGTGGTAGTAGAAGTAGTGTGCTGCATTTCTCTAAAACCGTGAGGTCCCGTCTAAAAGACTGGTATGGCTAACGACATTGCAGTGCTCCACTGCTCAGCGTAGTCATCAGTTGTAATGATGAATTCTTTATCTGCGTATATTCTATTTTTGTTATGAGATGGTAAGAGAAGGAGTGTGCCGATTTTCTCTAAAACCGCGTGGTGCCGTCAAAAAGACTGGTATGGCTAGCGACATTCCCGTACTCCACTGCACAGCGTAGACAGAAGTAATAAAGATGAATTCTTCATCTGCGTACATTCTATTTTTGTCGTGAGATGGTAAGAGAAGTTGTGTGCTGCATATCCCTAAAACCGTGAGGTCCCGTCAAAAGGACTGGTATGGCTAACGACATTGTCCTGCTCCACTGCACAGCGTAGTCATCAGTTATAGAGATGAATTCTTCATCTGCGTATATTCTATTTTTATCATGAGATCGTAAGAGAAGGATTGTGCCGATTTTCTCTAAAACCGCGTGGTGCCGTCAAAAAGACTGGTATGGCTAGCGACAATGCCGTACTCCACAGCTCAGCGTAGGCATCAGTTATAAAGATGAAATCTTAGTATGGGTATATTCTATTTTTATCATGAGATCGCAAGAGAAGGATTGTGCCGATTTTCTCTAAAACCGCGTGGTGCCGTCAAAAAGACTGGTATGGCTAGCGACAATCCCGTACTCCACTGCACAGCGTAGACATAAGTAATAAAGATGAAGTCTTCATCTTCGTATATACTATTGTTGTCATGAGATAGTAAGAGAATGTGGTATATTCTGTTTTTGTCATGAGACGGTAGTAGAAGTAGTGTGCCGATTTTCACTAAAACCGCGTGGTGCCGTCAAAAGGACTGGTATGGCTAACGACAATGCCGTACTCCACTGCTCAGCGTAGTCATCAGTTATAAAGATGAAGTCTTCATGTTCGTATATACTATTGTTGTCATGAGATAGTAAGAGAGGGTGTGTGCTGCATATCCCTAAAACCGCGTGGTGCCGTCAAAAAGACTGGTATGGCTAACGACAATGCCGTACTCCACTGCTCAGCGTAGTCATCAGTTATAGAGATGAATTCTTCATCTGCGTATATTCTGTTTTTGTCATGAGACGGTAGTAGAAGTAGTGTGCCGATTTTCACTAAAACCGCGTGGTGCCGTCAAAAGGACTGGTATGGCAAACGACATTGCCGTACTCCACTGCTCAGCGTAGTCATCAGTTATAGAGATGAATTCTTCATCTGCGTATATTCTGTTTTTGTCATGAGACGGTAGTAGAAGTAGTGTGCCGATTTTCACTAAAACCGCGTGGTGCCGTCAAAAGGACTGGTATGGCTAACGACAATGCCGTACTCCACTGCTCAGCGTAGTCATCAGTTTATAAAGATGAATTCTTCATCTCCGTATATTCTATTTTTGTCATGAGATGGTAGTAGAAGTATTATGCTGCAATTCTCTAAAACCCTGAGGTCCCGTCAAAAAGACTGTGATGACTAACGACATTGCCGTACTGCACTGGTCAGCGTAGTCATCAGTTATAAAGATGAAATCTTCATCTGCGTATATTCTATTTTTATCATGAGATCGTAAGAGAAGGATTGTGCCGATTTTCTCTAAAACCGCGCGGTGCCGTCAAGAAGACTGGTATGGCAAACGACATTGCCGTACTCCACTGCTCAGCGTAGTCATCAGTTATAGAGATGAAGTCTTCATCTTCGTATATTCTGTTTTTGTCATGAGACGGTAGTAGAAGTATTGTGCTGCAATTCTCTAAAACCCTGAGGTCCCGTCAAAAAGACTGTGATGACTAACGACATTGCCGTACTGCACTGGTCAGCGTAGTCATCAGTTATAAAGATGAAGTCTTCATCTTCGTATATACTATTGTTGTCATGAGATAGTAAGAGAATGTGTGTGCTGCATATCCCTAAAACCGCGTGGTGCCGTCAAAGCGACTAGTATGGCTAACGACATTGCCCTGCTCCATTGCACAGCGTAGTCNTTTATAAAGATGAATTCTTCATCTGCGTATATTCTATTTTTATCATGAGATCGTAAGAGAAGGATTGTGCCGATTTTCTCTAAAACCGCGCGGTGCCGTCAAGAAGACTGGTATGGCAAACGACATTGCCGTACTCCACTGCTCAGCGTAGTCATCAGTTATAGAGATGAAGTCTTCATCTTCGTATATACTATTGTTGTCATGAGATAGTAAGAGAATGTGTGTGCTGCATATCCCTAAAACCGCGTGGTGCCGTCAAAGCGACTAGTATGGCTAACGACATTGCCCTGCTCCATTGCACAGCGTAGTCATCAGTTTATAAAGATGAATTCTTCATCTCCGTATATTCTATTTTTGTCATGAGATGGTAGTAGAAGTATTGTGCTGCAATTCTCTAAAACCCTGAGGTCTCGTCAAAAAGACTGTGATGACTAACGACATTGCCGTACTGCACTGGTCAGCGTAGTCATCAATTTATAAAGATGAATTCTTCATCTGCGTATATTCTATTTTTATCATGAGATCGTAAGAGAAGGATTGCGCCGATTTTCTCTAAAACCGCGCGGTGCCGTCAAAAAGACTGGTATGGATAACGACATTGCCGTTCTCCACTGCTCAGCGTAGTCATCAGTTATAAAGATGAAGTCTTCATGTTCGTATATACTATTGTTGTCATGAGATAGTAAGAGAAGGTGTGTGCTGCATATCCCTAAAACCGCGTGGTGCCGTCAAAAAGACTGGTATGGCTAACGACATTGCCGTNTGCCGTACTCCACTGCTCAGCGTAGTCATCAGTTATAAAGATGAAGTCTTCATGTTCGTATATACTATTGTTGTCATGAGATAGTAAGAGAAGGTGTGTGCTGCATATCCCTAAAACCGCGTGGTGCCGTCAAAAAGACTGGTATGGCTAACGACATTGCCCTGCTCCATTGCACAGCGTAGTCATCAGTTATAGAGATGTATTCTTCATCTGCGTATATTCTATTTTTGTCGTGAGATGGTAAGAGAGGGTGTGTGCTGCATATCCCTAAAACCGTGAGAACCCGTCTAAAAGACTGGTATGGCTAACGACAATGCCGTACTCCACTGCTCAGCGTAGTCATCAGTTTATAAAGATGAATTCTTCATCTGCGTATATTCTATTTTTGTCGTGAGATGGTAAGAGAGGGTGTGTGCTGCATATCCCTAAAACCGTGAGGACCCGTCTAAAAGACTGGTATGGCTAACGACATTGCCGTACTGCACTGGTCAGCGTAGTCATCAGTTATAAAGATGAAATCTTCATCTTCGTATATACTATTTTTGACCTGAGATGGTAGTAGAAGTATTGTGCTGCAATTCTCTAAAACCCTGAGGTCCCGTCAAAAAGACTGTGATGACTAACGACATTGCCCTGCTCCACTGCACAGCGTAGTCATCAGTTATAGAGATGAATTCTTCATCTGCGTATATTCTATTTTTATCATGAGATCGTAAGAGAAGGATTGTGCCGATTTTCTCTAAAACCGCGTGGTGCCGTCAAAAAGACTGGTATGGCTAACGACATTGCCGTTCTCCACTGCACAGCGTAGACATAAGTAATAAAGATGAATTCTTCATCTGCGTATATTCTATTTTTGTCGTGAGATGGTAAGAGAAGGTGTGTGCTGCATATCCCTAAAACCGTGAGAACCCGTCTAAAAGACTGGTATGGCTAACGACATTGCCGTACTGCACTGGTCAGCGTAGTCATCAGTTATAAAGATGAAATCTTCATCTTCGTATATACTATTGTTGTGATGAGATAGTAAGAGAATGTGTGTGCTGCATATCCCTAAAACCGCGTGGTGCCGTCAAAAAGACTGGTATGGCTAACGACATTGCCCTGCTCCATTGCACAGCGTAGTCATCAGTTATAGAGATGTATTCTTCATCTGCGTATACTCTATTTTTGTCGTGAGATGGTAAGAGAAGGTGTGTGCTGCATATCCCTAAAACCGTGAGGTCCCATCAAAAAGACTGTGATGACTAACGACATTGCCGTACTTCACTGCTCAGCGTAGTCATCAGTTATAAAGATGAAATCTTCATCTTCGTATATACCATTTTTGACCTGAGATGGTAGTAGAAGTATTGTGCTGCAATTCTCTAAAACCCTGAGGTCCCGTCAAAAAGACTGTGATGACTAACGACATTGCCGTACTCCACTGCTCAGCGTAGTCATCAGTTATAGAGATGAATTCTTCATCTGCGTATATTCTATTTTTGTCGTGAGATGGTAAGAGAAGGTGTGTGCTGCATATCCCTAAAACCGTGAGAACCCGTCTAAAAGACTGGTATGGCTAACGACAATGCCGTACTCCACTGCTCAGCGTAGTCATCAGTTTATAAAGATGAATTCTTCATCTGCGTATATTCTATTTTTGTCGTGAGATGGTAGTAGAAGTATTGTGCTGCATATCCCTAAAACCGTGAGGTCCCATCAAAAAGACTGTGATGACTAACGACATTGCCGTACTTCACTGCTCAGCGTAGTCATCAGTTATAAAGATGAAATCTTCATCTTCGTATATACCATTTTTGACCTGAGATGGTAGTAGAAGAAGTGTGCTGCATTTCTCTAAAGCCACGAAGTTCCGTCAAAAAGACTGGTATGGCTAACGACATTGTCCTGCTCCACTGCACAGTGTAGTCATCAGTTATAGAGATGAATTCTTCATCTGCGTATATTCTATTTTTATCATGAGATCGTAAGAGAAGGATTGTGCCGATTTTCTCTAAAACCGCGTGGTGCCGTCAAAAAGACTGTGATGACTAACGACATTGCCGTACTTCACTGCTCAGCGTAGTCATCAGTTATAAAGATGAAATCTTCATCTTCGTATATACCATTTTTGACCTGAGATGGTAGTAGAAGTAGTGTGCTGCATTTCTCTAAAACCGTGAGGTCCCGTCAAAGAGACTGGTATGGCTAACGACATTGCAGTGCTCCACTGCTCAGCGTAGTCATCAGTTGTAATGATGAATTCTTTATCTGCGTATATTCTATTTTTGTTATGAGATGGTAAGAGAAGGAGTGTGCCGATTTTCTCTAAAACCGCGTGGTGCCGTCATGAAGGCTGGGATGGCTAACGGCATTGCCGTGCTCCACGACACGCCGCACTCACCAGTCATAAAAACGAATTCTTCACCTGCGTGTTCCCTATTTTTATCATCAGATGGTAAGAGAAGAAGTGTGCTGCATTTCTCTAAAGCCGTGTGGTGCTGGACAGTTGCTTAACCGCATTTTATTACTGATGAGTGCGGTGTGCAATGAAGTACGTCACTGCCGCTAGCCATCCGTCTTCTTGCGAACACAGCACTGTTTATGTAAAATGCAGCACACTACATCTGTGACCATTTCATGACAAAAATAGGAAATCGGAAGATGAGGAAATCATCTTTATGACTGGTGACTACGCGCGCGGGACTGGTCCACGTGTTATTTTAGTGGAGCCGCGAGCAAGATGCACCCCGTAGTCAAAATATCATTCTGAAATAGGGCGCCAGATCACGCGTGATAGTGAGGCATTCGTCTTTCCGGTTCATATTTGGATTTTTAAATTTTATCCAAAACGCCTCAAGAGTTTTGCACGCTGATGTTTTTGATTCCTTCGCTAGGATCGCACATTCATTTCAAAATCATCGCCACTGTGCTTTTGTGTCCTATGCGTGCCTAGAGGGGTGTTAACCTGGTTGTAGAATAGAATATAGAATAAAATAGAATAGAATAACCTGGTTTTTTAGCCTAATACTTACCCAGTTGCTTAACCACATTCTAGCTCACCTGACAAACAGCCAAATATTCCTAGGGCGTCTACGTAACGCGTGTCCTACGCGAACATGGTGGAGTGCTTCGATGTTAGCCCGTTGTACACTAATGTATCTAATGAGTGGACGATGCAAGCCATCTTTGAACTTCTTGTTGAACATAAATGAAGAGTAAATATGCATGGTTTGTCCATCCAGCAGCTGATGGCTCTCTTAGAGTGCCTAAACTGCTCGATTTTCAGATGGTTTGGGAAATATTTCGCGCAAATTAGGGGGTTGGCGATGGGACAGCGACTGGCACCAAGTCTTGCCATTGTGTTTATGTCTAAGATAGAGGCCCCTATTCTCGATCTCCGCATACTACTCTACTGCAGATATGTAGATTATTGTTTTGTCGTCTTATCTGCGCAGGAGGAGATGGACAAATTCTTTATATTATTGAAGGAGCAGTCTAAGTACATAAATTTCAACCGGGAAAAACCGAGAAAAAACTCGCTTCCGTTTTTAAACGTTCAAATAAACCTATCAAGTAGCGGTTATTTGACAACGTGGTACCGAAAGCCAAGTAACCAGAACATCCTCGTTCATTTCCTTTCTTTCCACCCTTCACACACAAAGAGGGCGATTGTGAGAAACATGTTTCGATCAGCCACCTCTGTGTGCACTACCAGGGAACTAAAGGAAGAATCGCGCGACTTGGCTCGGCAAATAACCATCTCCAGTGGCTACGATGTAGTAACCCCACCAGATAAGTTTAGAAGGAGAACGACGCCCCCACGCGAAACACTTGGCTAAAAAAAGTTCCGTTTATGTTGCCTTTTATAAGCGATGAAGTAGGCGTAGCTATTCAACGATGCTTAAGAAGAGCAGGTCTAGAGGAATCGGTAGCGATGGTTGAAATACCACCGACAACTTTACGTCGTCAGTTAGTTCGTAACCGCCTGTATGACCATCTATGTGAAACCACAAGTTGCGTAATTTGCCCTTACGGAAGGCTGCGGAGATGAATATATTGGCGAAACGGGCAGACCTTTGCGTATCCGTATAAAAGAACACCTAGATGGCAAACGAAAACTAAGACAAAGTACCCCACTAGGCACGCATAGGATACAAAAGCATAGCGGAGACGATTTTGAAGTAAAAGTCAAAAGTATTCTTGCACAGGAGACTGAAACCAGCGCGAAAACTTCCTGAGGCTTTTTGGATAAATGCCAAAAACCTGCAATGGATAGCAGGGATGAATGCCGAGGTCATACGCGACCTGACTCCATATGTTCGCATCAATTTCGGATGTGGGATGGTGCAGCCGTCAACCATATGCACTATAATCAACTGTTCTAAACTTCCTCATTGGAAGTCACGTAAAAAGTGGTGAGTTTTTTGAGAAGCTGTTGAACATGAAATTACCACAGAGTTTTTCGTCTTTTTGTAAGTGTTATTGAAGCGTTTGGCCTAGTAGATTGCATATCAGTATACCCTTCCAGACTCTGAAGAAGGCGATACTGCCAAAGGGTCAGCTAGTGTTGTACTGTATTGTGTTTCTCTATGGATGTAAATGTATGCTGTTTAAAAACTTCGCGATCGCTGAACAAGAAAGCGACGCATTCATAGTCTAGTTTTAATTAATCTGCAATTAGTGCGCTGCCATTCTACAGTGTATGCTTTCCTATATGATCTACTCGAACCTCGACATGATAATTGAAAGTACTGATAAGAAGTGTTTGTCGAATTCAGTTGAATGAATCAAAACAACAAGTATGGCTCATTTGTTATTCTTCGGTCGCTAAGTCCGGTCGGGTTATATGTTGACCAATCCCAAAAGAGAGATTACCAAAAACAGTTAGTTCTGGTGATTTTGTCATAATAGCCACTGCCCCTTGATTATTTCAGGTCTGTTAAAACGGATGGAACACTTGCGAGAATTATTTAAATTGTATAATCAGCGGGAATGTGAAGATGGTGAAGAATTGGCAACGTGAGTATCACAGACATTGCTGAAAGTGCTTAATTAGAATTAGATTATGAGGTAGCTAAGCAGCGAATCCTGTAATACATAACATTTAAACAACGTATCTGCGTTACTCGTTTGTTTTCGAAATCGCTAAATAAAGTTTTTTGACACATCTATGCTAGAGACGACCCAATCCATTTGTCAACCGCAAAACAGGGCCTCCGACCTTTAGTCATTTCTATAGGAAATTTAAAATTATAAACAGACTTTCGATCTTCCGTTCTCAAGCAATTTTTAACTTATTTGTGGTGTGGTTCAAAGTAGCTAGTGATGATCCTCATTCTGTACATCTCTATTCTACTGGTATCCAGATTACGAAATAATCGGCTTTCACCTTCAGCAAATAATGCAGGACGATTAACCAAAACATCATACCACTGACATTTAGCTCTTGTATGCAAAAGTAAAGCGACCGATCTGTGCGCAGCTATTGAGATAAACTAATTTGAGAAAAAAAGGCTAAAACGTATGGAAATCGCGAGCATGGGGAAAATAAGGAAAAAGACCGCCCCATTGCGCTATTTTGGTTGTTCCACGGTACAACTGATGCAGCAAACAAGATAGAACGAATTTGCTGCAATTTTGATAGAAGTGATATCTATCAGTGTGGAAATGTTATATATACCAAATCATAATATTCTTATGGTAGGGTGATATTCAATGCTAATTGATGAGGCTGACGTTTTCCGAGACCTTGTGAACAAGTGCTGGTTAACTAACATGTTACTAAAAGAAGTGGGAAGGCAACAAGATTGGAGAGTATTGAAAAGAATTTTTGATATTATACCTAAACGAAATTGCATATGTTTCTACATCATGCAAATCCAAACTGCTGGAAATTATTTTCAGCAAAAAACGCGAACAGAAAACTGATTACCTCATAAAAACACAGTTTGAAGAGGTACAAGCACGAAAACATCCTGCAGTATCTGTTAGTCGGAAAAAGTCAGTACTTCGCTGGAAAAAGAGCAAATCACTACCGGTGCGATCTTCTCTTTTCTATATTGTTGCTTTTACTAATTAGTGACTGTTTGGTCTGTTTTAGAGTAAAGAGAAAGCCACTGAGAAGAAACTGGAGAAGGAATCAAATGTGAGTTCGAATTTGTTCAATCATATGGGTTAATCTCAATAAAGCGAAACGACGGAAATGCAGACTTTACCATCAACCAAGTGGTGAAATGGCAATTTAATAGGCATAAGTAGAAGACTTTAAAAACAGGAAAAAGCTACAAAGCTCAAGTACATCCAAAAGTTGTTAAGTCCGAAGGATTGTAGAAGGTAGATTGGATATAAGGTAACCAATACTCATTCCATAATAGGTGCCTACATGTTTTAGAAAAAAGATGATCAAGAACTGTCATATTTGCCATTGACGAAAATTCTCCACCATCGTGACTTTCGCAACGCCTGCAAGGTTGAATTGCCTCATTTTCCTCTTCCTCACCGTAATTGTTTGGAGTGCTTTATGGCTCCTATCACATGCCAAATGATATTTAGTAGCGAAAATTCAGATGATGTCTGAAATCAAAAAACGAAAAATGATTGATCGACTTCTGGACGCAAACGATTCTGGAATGATTCGCAAAATGTTCGAAAATGACATAGCTGAGCCAACCAAAGTTGTATGATTTTGCCATTGAGTAGGCTTAATGAGTTACACAATAGAATTTCTTTATGATTTAGGAAGTCAAATTACTACATCGTGCGCTGAATATTTTATGGGAAGAATTGATGTGCAACATCGCAGAGTTTAAATTCGAACGTGAAGTGGTCGTGTTGTTGTGCGAGCGGGAAAAGGTTTTTCATTCAAACGTTGAACTTAAGTGCACCGTGGGCTCAAATAATGAGCAATTCAAAAAGTTGTCAGACAATATTCTCTATATTTTCAAAGTCGGTCACGACTTTATAACTGATGGTGCACAGTGGTTCAGTAGACGGGTGATTGCTGATGGCAAAAGATCGATAGAGCTAGCTGAGAGACAGGCGAAATGAAGGAGCCACATGGTGTCGTGGTGAACGCGTTTCCCCCGGAAAGGACAATAGCGCGTTTGTTCCCCACCTCATACACCTGCGGTCCGGAGTTCCGCAAATATCTCAGCATCATTGAAGTTAAAAGTGAGATAGTTTTTGCAAATAGGTAAACTCATTTTGTGATGTGGCACATATGAGAGGGCACCTCAACAGACATGAAGCATATGAAGCTTTCCTTGTACAAAAAATCCCCTAAACAATGATGGGAGGTTAATGCAATGAAAGGTAATCCGATCAACACAAAGCAGCATGAGTGTAAGTACGGGTGTAAGGAGTGGTAGTGCACAGATCTCGTTTTGTAAAGAATCTTCTCATTAGGCGAAATAACAAACGCGAAGAGTTTTTTTAAAGGAAAGGTTTTTTCTCGACGAATATTCAAAGAAAGATGTCAGTTTTTCCGATTTGCGCGCGGACAAATCACGTGAAGTGGAATCATTCGCCAGCAGCATTTCTTCTCAACGATAATGATCATTAAGAAAATGCTCGAGATGAATTTATCAACAGAGGATTGATGTTTGAGACGTGTGTGATTTTCGACACATATGGAATTACATGACTTCTCGTACCACATTAGCACTCCATCAAAAGCCCCTACATGTTCTACCAGTTTGGTGTCGCCGATGACATCTCTGAGCGCTAGAAGTGCAACATTCTCAATTGTTGCGACTGCTGTATTCCACCCTTGCTATACTTCTGGTTGCCAACAGCAGATTTTGAAAGGTAAGGTGGAGGACCAGCTGCCATACGATGAACCACGACGACTTGAAGAAGCAGTGGCGGCTGGAGACGTAGTATTAAAATGTCGGAAATATAGCGTGCTTTCTGAAGATCAGAACAAGAGGTAATCATTGATGAGAAAAAGCATGGAGGTGACTGTAAACGATATTCTTGTTCATGCTAATTTTCTCCTATACCTATATCTCGCATTATTCCCATTTTCAAGAGCTTTCTTTGTACTAGTAAATGTTAATAAGTAGTGTGCGAGTTCTATGTGTGGGTAGTGAAGGATATCCACCTCTAGTCCTCTTGTACCAATCCACATATTTGCTCTCGCAACAATGTTCTTCTGGTCAACATTGTTTGACGAAATTTTATGTCGTACATGAAGCAAACAAATAGTCTCTTTACTTATTCTGCTGCCATTTCTAATGTGGTTGTGTTTAGGTTAAGGCTCGGTTTCTGGACGCGATGCTTCTATATCCTCATTTTGTCCCAGATACATGGGGTGGACGACATTTGTGTATGTTCTGTTGCTGTTTATAATTTAAAAAATTGAAATTGTCGTTTGCTACGCAATTGTTTCTTTAGGTGACCTTGTAAAGAGTGTTGGAACAGCCAAAAACATTCCACACGATGAAGGAGATGGCCTGATACCTCCTCCAATTGTTGAGGTATAGTTGGCCCAAGCAAACATTTTAGAAGGCACCTACTCAAAAGATGAAAAAGAAAGTAGAAGTAAACCAAAAGTAAACAACAAAACAAATTAACAGCACTTTAAGTGGATATCGCCCTATGTTTAAGGCCACGGAGTATTACACACGTTCCTCTTTTCCGCTTCATGGAAAAAGTTCTATTAAGAAACCTTCGTTCTACAGCATTCTTCTTTTCCTTTGAGGTTTTTCGCTTTGCTTTCCTAATAGCTGGTATTGTAGACTATTCCTTCGCAGTGGACAAAACAACTACAGCAAATTTTGGGCGAACAAAAACCGAAATCACAAGAATCAACATTTTCGGCTACGGAGGGAACGAAACAGGTTTTGAGTGGAAATTGTTCCTGTGCTTACGCCAAGCTGTTCTGCAAGCTCTTGAACACTTGTTCACGTGTTTACCTCCACTAGTGCTTTCAATTTGTCGTCGTCAAGTTCAATGGGACGACCACCGCCTTCCTTAACTTCGAGGTCGAAACCATAAGATCGGAATTTCTGAAAGCGTGTTCGCACTTCGATGATGCTGAGATATCTGCAAAACTCCGGACCGCAGGTGTATGCGGTGGGCAACGAAGGCGCTATTGTCCTTTCCGGGGAGTAGCGCGTTCACCACCACACCACGCGGGTCCTTCGTTTCGCTTGTCTCTCGGCTAGTTCTATCGATCTTTTGCCATCAGCAATCACCCGTCAGCGGGATTGATCTGGGGGGCCCAATTCGGCAACGAACCCAGTTAAGCTGAGGCCGCAGTTATAATCACAATAACAATAGACCAATAGCGCGTTCGTTCCCCACCGCATACACCTACTGTCCGGAGTTTTGCAAATATCTCAGCATCATTGAAGTTATATTTCGCAATATGTACCCTGCCGTTAAAAAGAATAGGCAGTAAATAATAAGTTAAAATCATGTTCGCACTGTTGATTCACCAACACTACCTTCACCCCAAGCTTGATGATATTCCGAACTCCTGCCATGGCTATACGTCAACTGTTACACTCGTGCAAAAAAAGAACACGAATATCACGTTGATTCGTACCAAAGTTAAAACTTACAAAAATATCAAAATAATAAATTTTAAAAGATAAATACTAGGAATAGAAAGAGCAGACTTTGTGCCTCACAATTATATATTTAACATATATAAATAACGAGATTTTTATTTAAAAAACTAAACAAAACTTAAAACAATAAAATCGGACATTTCGTATGTTATAACCTAATAGAAAGCGGAAGTTGCAGTGATGTAATCCTCACCCGAACAAAGGTATCTTACATGTGAACAAGCTTCAACTGTAGGTGGTCGAGCGGAATTTGATGGCGAAATCTGGTAAGGCGGTCGACCCAGTTGTGACCGATAGAGAACAGGAGGACGTCTTAGTGGCAGTAGATGATGAAGAGGAAGAAGTAAATGAACTCATTATTTAATTTACAAAATTTTTGAAAGAGGCTGTTTTAATAACGGGGAAATGATAGGGTCCAGAACGTTATTCAACATCACAGATGTTCAGCTCAACATTCGTATTCCCTATGATTACATGACTACTGGGACAATAAATAATAACTTGCCCCAATAACGATATGAACAGGAAATCCGGCTAGTTGAACTGTTATGAAGCACACGATAAAGTTGTCACAAAAATCGCTGACATTCTGGATGAGTTCGACATGCAAAGTGTTAAAATTCCTTGATCTAAAGTCTAGCACCTGCTCTTGATGAAGACCAAAAGATGTCCTAAAACAGACAGCTCGCTTTCAAGAGAGAATTTTATTCATATCAAGAAGGCCAGTGTCATAAGAAGTTACAAACTGCCAAGTTACCGTCCAATTTACACGAGAACCCGGGCAATTTCAATGGATGATGGTCAACCGAAAACGAGTAATCTGTATATTTAAGTGAACATGGTGTGGATAGATGAGTGGCTCAAGTTATATCTGAGTATACCTCGTAGAAAACCAAGTTAACTGTCCACCAGGTGGGAGCCAGGCGTGGTTGCGTGCAGTGATTTCCTCACGTTCGTTCGTATTCCTGCTCCATTTGTGTTTTTACCATTTGCAGTCTTCGTCGAACATTGTCGAAGGATACAAGGCTTTAGAGAGACACTTAATAGTGGTTCCTTGACGACCTTAAATATCAGTCGACTAGTATGCTGTTCTATTAGTATCGCTTTAGCACTGCTTACGATAGCAGTCAAATCATCTAACGCCATCCTAACAAAGCTATGAGTGGTTAAACTAATGTGATGGTGAATCGCATTGTGATCGCTCATATATGAAGCTCATTATATTGCGAAATTCTCTATAAAAGTCCCATCGACATATCTGTCTTGAATAAGCAGACTTACAGAAGCAAAACATGTGTTGAAACTATGCGGATTCCGGCGTTCATTTAAATCGCCTCATTGCCTGACCTGTGTATTAGTATTCCGAAGCTTCGACCATCTTATATCCGGTTTGCGATTTCTGAGGTGGAGATCCTTTGCGCACTCCCTCTATAAGCTTCCCATCGCAAGTTTTTTAAAAATATTTCTTCCACTTCTAGATGTTTGCTTGTGAAAAGGTCCTTTTTATCTGGCTTGAGACCACAAAAAACCATGTATTGTTCTCTATCATCCATGATAAGCATAGATTTGCCTTTAATTAAGCTCTACTGCACTATACGAATAGATATTTTGGTCTTCTTCGCTGGGAAACAACACTTTTACTGGAAAATTGATTTAGTAAACGATTGCTACCTAATTTTTAAGCACGTTGCCGAACTGGGAAAACGCAGAGGAACAAAAAAGAAGAGGAAATCACGTTCTGAAAATCGAACGCGTAAAACAGCTTTAATGGAAAGGAGAGATCAACAAAACGATTACGAAAACAAAGAAGAAGAGTATGCAGAAAAAGTGAAAACAGTGCAAGAAGTGAGCAGCGGAGTGGAAGGCAAATCTATTCCGAAGAAAATAACGAATGATTTCCAGCACAAAGCACAGAAAATAACTGAAAAGGAAAGAGATAATGATTTCACCGGAGCTTCAAGTAAACGTCCTGAAGTAAGAGCGGCGAAAAGTAAAAAAAATGAAAAGAATGTAACCGTATCTCTAGAAAAAACACAAAGTACTATTTCCCAACAAAAATCAATGGAAAGTTTGTCAGAGGGAAAGCTTGGTGATCTAAAGACGCAGCCGAAAATCGAGAATGAATCTAGTGAAACAAAATGTCCTGAAATAAATGAAACGAGAACGCAAGAAGAAGTTGTAGATGAAGCCATTAAGGAAAAGGCAAGGACCGTTCCTGTAGAGGATAAACATATAGAAAAAGATGCAAGGCCAAAAGAAACGAGAAAAAATCTAGAGAAAGGTAAAAAGGAGGAAACGAAGGATGATTTAAAGTTTACGACTTCGAAAGAGCAAAAGGAAAAAAAGCAGTTGACTGGAAAGAAAGTTGAGGACAAAAAAGGAGAAGAAGTGGGCCATGCTACTGAGAAATTAGAAAGTAAGACTCCAGCAGAACAAAAAGAAAGGAAGAAAGTCGATGAAAAGGGACACGAGGAGGAACTATCAGGAGAAAAAATAGGTGGCTCTAAAGAAAAACTGACGAATAAGACATCTATTCAAAGTCGAGAAACATTGAATATAACAAAAAAGAAAACTGTAAAAGAGGAGGGCAAGAAAAGCGTGAAGGTCAGGACAAATAGTGCTTCCCCAGTAAAAGATAAAGAGCACAAAGGAGGAAGCAATGACACCAAGATAAACAAGGAATCGAAGAAAAGCGCAACACAAGAAACATTGACTGAAATAGCATCTAAACCTAAGAAACAAAAGATGAGGGCAAAGAATAGTGATAGCGAAAAGGAACATAGGAAGAAAAAAGATCCGAAAGTAAAGAAGCGCGAACAGAAAGAGCACAAACCTCATAAGAGCGCGGGAAATGAATGGAAAGAAACTGGTCACAAAAAGTCGACGTTGAAAAACGCGTCAGGTAGCAAAGACAAATGACGATTTGCAGAAATCGAATGAGCCAACGGATGTTTCACGGTAAGATGCAGTTTAATTAGTTTTTAAGTCTTCTTATCACTTTCCTTTTCGTCTCATAGGCGTTCCACCGCATTCTGGGAAAGACGTGATTGAATGAAATTGTCAACGAAAAACAGCTTTTTAGGTTCACAAGTGCTAGAAACAACACTGTCACCTCGTGTAAAACTTTTGATGCCTTGAAAATCTTCTCAAGTTGTAATAAAACAATGTTAATCAGTACATGGTGAACACTACACGTTACGTTGATTTGATTTTTTCTAAACCGTTAGTTCATAGCACACTATCTGCTTACATCCCTTACTCTGTGGGTTCGCATTTATTCGATACTGAGAGGACACCAGAAGATCATTTTTTACCTAAAAAATTGCTCTTGTGTAAACATAGTGCTTACTATCGTGTTCCCATAAATTTGGCCAAGTGGAGAGCAACGTTGAAGAGTGAAGGATAAAACATGCGTCGCCTATCCGTCGTTTACAGAATGTGCCATGCATTCAACTGCATTCGTTACACCGTGGAAATGGCTTAATGCACATTTGGCGTTTTCAACGACTAGTATCCTACGCATTTATCAATTCAACGGTCTCTCCTATCTAGACAAGTCTGTTAGCAGTTTGTCGACCACGGAGTGATGGAAAACTTGATTTAGCCTGTGCGCAGATTCGAATTAAAGATCATGTTGTATTGTAGGGCACCCGCTGGCCACTACACCACATGTGTCTCAAAGAGTAATAAATATCATCCTGATAAATTCAAACCTTCACCTATTTGGATACTTGTGTCACAGTATCCATGGTTCATACAAGCTTAAGGTCATTTACGTTTGTGTATGAAATGTGATATAAAAATAAGTAATTGTCGAAATTTTTTTTTCTTCAATAAATATATAATATACAGCGGCACTCACACCTACAGCAAGGATTCCTATGGCCGTCGTCCATGATGTGCTGTCAGACACGGCGCCGTAAGGAACTGTCCGGTTTCCTTTTCTTAATATTGTTTTCTCGAAGAAATGGACACCGCACCTACAATCCGCTTATGATGAGCCCGACATTCTTCACATAAAGCAAGCGATTCTATGACTATCGTCTATGGTGCGCCGTAGGGTATGGTAATGTGGTAAATTATCTGTCGTCCTCATGTTAGTATTACTACTCTCTGGAGGAAAGAAGGAATTCCCCTCCTACAATGAGTTAGGAAGCAGCACAGCACTCAGCACCTGAAGCAAGTAATTCTCACACCAATATCTATGATCACTATGCAGTGAGGCACTCTAGTACCGTGCTCACAGTTCTTTCGTTAATGCTAGTATTTTGCAACAGAAACGCGACACATGGCCAACGATTTCAACAAACTCCGTATGCGGCTAAACAATCAGCAACTAAAGCGAGAAATTCTATGGCCAGCGTTTATTACGCACTGTGAATACATCGCTCTAGCGAGTACAAAGGCAATTAAAATCCGTTTCTTTTTCATGACTCATAATCTTAAACAATATCTTAGAGTGATATTTTTTCACGAAAAGAAACATTACAATTCTGCATGCACTCTGTGGAGTTGGTCTCTTCCAAAAATAAATTGAAAACTCAAAGGGACGATAACTGTCTGAAAAAGTTATTCCCAAAGTGACTGAAATTTGGGTCCTAGGTTTTTCTGTTGAAGCTATGGAAATATATGACTGGCTAAATTCCAATCAAATGGACCTTTCCAGGCTCCGAAGAAAGCGAAATCCGGCGGGACGTTGGCTATTGTAAATAAATAGTATGGTAACAGCCGTAACAGCCTAATGTCTGCTCATCAAAAAAATAGTGAAGCATAGCAATAAAACACTAAACGCTGCTTTATGGATTAAGCGCATCGAGTCAAAACCTAATGAAGGGAGGGTATAGTTAAGGAAAGACAAAATCCAAAAACCCGGAACCCCTGCCAGCTTCGAACCCACGATTACCATTTCTAGGTGGTCAAGTGTTACCCACTGCACCGCTGAGACCCACGTTTTGCTTTTGTGTCAACCAGTTTTTACCGTAACTGTGCTGTGAGCAATGAACCATCAGCGGAAGTGATCAGGGCAGCATCACCTGTACCACATGTAGTCCCGTTGATCGTCGAATGACTGGAGCGGGCGCCAGTAAATCTTCCAATTTTCCCTGTTGCGTGCAAGAGTAGCCCAGTGGGTTCTGCTCGCTCTAGGGACTCGTCGAGCATCGAGCATTCTTCAAGGCTCTTCGTGAAGTACTCTGACCATCGGGTCGGTGGTCTTCGTCCAGTACGTTTGACACCTCAAAGAATCCAGCCACCAACGGCTTTTGTCCATCGGTTGTCATTCATACGCATTAATTGTTCGGCCCGCCTTATCTTCGGCTGTTTGGCGTACAAAACGGCATCTTTGATTTACGATCGTTGACGCAGGTCGGAGCTTCCGATCCCTTCTCTTACTTGTGTGGAACGGGATGCTTCTAGCATCGTCCTTTCGATTGCGCGTTCCATAACACTGAGTGATCTTTCATCTTGCTTACGCAGCGACCAGGTTTCTGACGCATACGTTAGGGCAGGAAGTACCGTTGAGTCGAAAAGGTGGGCACGGAGTCGGGTGTTCTTTGTTCTCTTCATTATATCCTCGATGCTCTTGAAAGCTCCACAAGCCGCTTGTTTCCTTCTATTCAACTCTGGAGCGAAGTCGTTCAACATGTTGATTTCCCGGCCTGGATAGACAAAACTAGAGCATTCGGAGATATTCGTTCCGTTGAGCGTGAATGGAGCATACGAAACCAATCCGTTCCTCATAAATATCGTTTTTGTGAGATTTCGTCGAAGACCAATCTTTCCACAGGCTTTATCAAAGTCGGCAAGCATACATTCCGCCTGGCTAATGTTTGGTGTTATAAGGACGATGTAATCAGCAAAGCGAAGATGGTGTAACTGCGGACCGTCGATTTTCACTCCCATATCCCATTCCAATGTTCGCATAACGTTCTGTAGGGTAGCGGTAAATAATTTTGGCGAGATTGTATCGCCTTGCCTAACTCCTCTTGTGACGTCAATGTTAATATCGTTGCAGAATGGTGGTACCTTGGTTGTGAAATTTTTGCACAGCTCACGAAGAATCTTTGTGTACTGAGTAGGAATTCCTTGACTATCAAGAGCTTCCATGACTGCTTCTATCTCATTTGAATCAAAAGCCTTCAGTAAATCGATGAAAGTGAAACAGAGCGGTCCTTTGTACTCTCGCGATACTTCAATGAGCCTTGTTATCGTGTGAATGTGGTATATCGCACTAAATTCTTTCCGAACATTGCTTGCTCACATGACAGCTCTTCGTCCAGTGTTCTGTCAATCCTGTTAAGGATGACTCAAGTAAAAACTTTCTACACGACATACAGGAAGCAGATTGGGCGATAGTTGCCCATATCGTGTAGGTCACCCTTCTTGAACAATAACACGGTCTTGCTGGTCTTCGACTGAGTAGGGACCTAGCATTCAGACAGGCAACATGTGAAGAGCCGAGCCAGTGTGCCAGTGTGTTTACCAGGGCTAGTGGAAGGTTCTCTGGAAAGTCCAGACTTGATGCTGCTCGATTTTTTACCGAAATGGTGCATTGGGTTTCGGAAGGGAGAACGCGGTGGTCCTTTCTGGACACTGTAACTGTTCTGTCTAGACGTCGGAATGCGATAATCTTGGTCCTGTAATTGGCGAAGTTCGGTGGGCTCTGCAATGCTTTTCCCAGTCGATGCATTTTCGACTATTAGTGCTGCTCTTCTCTCTTTAAATCTTTTTTATCGCCTGTCTGCATTGTTTTGCAAGTCCGGACGTTAGTTCACGGCTGCCTGCAGCTCGTACGATTCCACGCCGGCGTATCAGATTGAGAGTTTCTGGAGGCAGACGTTTCTTGCTGACTTTCGAACTCTCAGCTTTCATAGTGCTAGCATGAGGGTGTTGAATGAGCCGATCGTATTTCTCGTCGATGTTATCGACAACGGCATCTTTCGAATAGCTGACTAATCAGTTGAAAAAGTCCCGGTTTATAGTATAGGTCCCAGTTTATTGTGGTTTTCGCACTTCTTTTTTGAAATTAGCGGCTTTTCCTCCTTTCCGCGAGAAGTAGAACCTTGCACGAAGGAGACGGTGGTCTGATCCTGTGTAGAATTTTGGGACAATAGCTACATCGGTTAGGCAAAACCTACTTGCTATGATGTGGTCTGTTTCGTTATGGCACTCTCCAATGGGAGACTCCCACGTCCAGCGTTGAGGGTGGAGCTCTGGAATTGCGAGTTACCATGGCTGGTGTTGCTCGAGATGATAAACTCAGATAGCCGCTCACCCTGTTCGTTCCATCCTAATCCGTTGGTCCCAATGTGACGTTCTTCAAACGTTCTTCTTGGTCCAATCTTGGTGTTCAAATCTCCAGTGATGACCGTGAAGAATGTATAGTCTTCCCTGTAGAACTTCTCCAAGTTCACATAGAACGCTCCGACTTGTTCTTCGTCATAGTTTAATGTCGGCGTGTAAACGAAGAAGACTGCCAAAGCCGGTATTCGTCCACATCTTTTCAATCGTAAACGTCCGATTCGGGTTGTAAGTTGTCCGAATGATTCGATATTCGTGGAAAAACTCGTGCTGACGAGAATGCCGACGCCGCCTCCTCTACTCTCGAATGTTCCGAGGAACAGTTCTTCTCCGTTATCGTACATTGCGTTGAATGGGTGGGGTTGTCTCGTCTCGGCCAGTCCAGTGACCTCGTACCTTATCTTTCTTGCTTGCATGGGCAAGTCTTCTATCGAAGACTCGGGTGCAAGTGTACGTGTATTCTAGGTATAGATCGTCGCCTTAGTTCTTTGCGATCCAGGCAGCTTAAATTGGCGGTGAGATTTTAGCACCCTCTCCGAACTCGTCCTACCCAACGCTGTGAAATTGGGGCTCTTTCGGGGTCAGGGAAATAAGGCCAGTTTTTTTTAACTGCTTATATA